TTTTTCCCCCAAATAGTAACTTACTTTTAGCGATTGTAAAGAAGCAGAGATTGTATCCGCCCATATGACGACCGCTAATTAATCATTATCCAATCAGAGCGTCGCTTTTATACTACCCTTCTACCTGTAAGCAAAGCGATTAGACCGCCTACTCTAATCAGTAAATAATGAGAGCAATCGCCCCGAAACGGTATAATTGTGTGAATTAGTTTTGCGAGTTTAATACGGGATTTGGCGATAATTATAGATTGTTTTTTCCCCGATTATCTAAACGCGTGCAAATCTTCCCCTTATTGATATACACGATGCACTTCGGATGGTGGGTTTTTAACCAGAGTAAAGGCGATGTTGCAATGGATTTTTCACGGCTATCACAAAACTGTTCGTCAATTAAAATAATCAATTTCATTAATGTTCAGCGACAGGATTAAAAACTTAATCATAGTTTTGAATGATTTCAGTCTGTTAACATCAATTTTTTTACTGTAAAATTGTTATGTCGCTCACGTCATGGCTACAAGGCGAAATGCCGAAACCGAGCAACTTTAATGATTCTGAATGATAGTTACACCTACGCGAAAATTTAAGAAAGCCAATTCGCAAAAATCTTGCGATTGGTATGTTGTAGACAGTGGGGGGTGTTGGCATTTGTTCTCTTTGTAGAAATGCCCAAATTTGACACAGTTTACGCACGTGGGCACGACATCCCCGGCGAAACTACATTAAATCGGTCGTATATCATGTAAGTTATCATGTAACGTATATAACAACAAAATTTGTCAGGAAAGAAGTGTTCTTTTTTGTTTCAATATATTTATTTGTTTTAAATGTCGTAAATATGACGCTCAGATTAAGATTTTATCAATATTGTAAATTTTAAAAAAGCATTATTTATAAAGATTTATAACAGATATTTACCAGAATTTAACAGTTCATGAAAATAAAGGGAGGTTTTATTAGAAATTAATTTTCTACAATTTCTCAAAGTTCAAATTTTTCAATAAGAAATTGAATGTATGTAATTTTAGTAATCAAATATAATGTGCACAAATGTTTGCCAGTACATATTTTACATATTATTTGATGTTTGAAAATTGTTGTATAAGCATAATTATATGCATATAAATTCTGACATTACAAACATTCATGAATTTGAAAGAAAATTTCTGTCACCAAAACAGAATAGAACAGATATTATTAATCAATATCCAATGTGACCTCATCTCTATTAAAAGTGAGGAAAGTAAAAAATATATAAAATTTGATTTTATTATTCATATCTTTTTCTTACACATTATTATCAACAAATCTACATGAAAATATATAAACGCATATTTAGAGAAAGCTTATTAAATAGCTGATCAATAGATATCAAAAAAATAATTTTTTTTTAATTCATATTTGCAGATCAAAAACATTTAGATGCCATTGCCAGATCTACTATTAATTAATCTACTATTAATTAATACTTACTATTTAATTAATCTACTATTAATTAAAAAACTGGAGAAATATTATATGTGATGACAATCATGTTAATTGTGTTTATATTATAATTAAAGGATGTATAGCCATGCATGTTAATGCATACACATTGGGTTGTTTCCATTCTCCCTAATTTTCGCGAGGAAGTCACTTCTCCCTAAAATTTCCCCCCAGGATGAGCCCTGTAAATGTACTGTTATGAGAATTAAGAATTAAAATGTTACCAGTGCCTGATGAAGCTGGTGCTGATGGACTGCCTGATTTCACACCTGTTACTGCCAACGATTCGAGCCTTGCCGCTACGGCCTCCAGACGACTGACCGCCTGATGCATTTGTTCTGCTGACATGACGTTTTCTTCTAGTTCACGCTGTGCACGTAATTGTCGAACTTTTCTTTGATGCTCTGCAAACTTTTCTTCGGTTGCCGAATATCTTTTGCTTATCTCTTCCTGCAAGTTAAAGTCATTTAGAGAGGAATTAGAAAAGAATTGTTCCCTACTACGATTTATTTCTTCACGTATGCTTAAAGAGCTAGTTACGCTCATTTGAGATGTATACCTCGGATTTTTCTTTTCCCCTATTTCTTCACTCTTTTGTGACATATAAGTAGGACTCTTTTTTATCTACCTTTTCTGAATCTTTTTCCTCCACTTTAGCTTTCTCCCCTGTTTCCCCTTCCCCAGTCTGGTTCTCAGTTTTCTTAACACTGCCATTTTGTTCGGGACTGGTTTTCAATTCCGACTCTGTCACTTCAGTAACAGTCACTTCAATAGGAGATTCAATATCATTAACATTATCTTTACCATCTTTATCCGTATCAACATGCGAATCTTTATTTCTCTCTTTATCAATCTCCTCCTCCACTGCTACGTCATACTCTCTCCTCTTTGGCTTACAGCAGAACATTTCTCTCTTTTTAAACCTTATTCCTTTTGCCGAAACACAAATTTTCTCGCTTTAATTGTTTATTATTAAAGCAGAGTGCTTTATATGAAATCTACTAGTTATTTTTTCATTGTTAGTAGCGAAAATTTTCCCGAATCCTGATATTTTCACTTACATACAATATATTACAACAGGTCATATACATATAATATATATGTTTAATCTAACTATCACCCTGTTAAAAAAAAATTCAAAATCAAATTTCATATATCTTTCCTCTCTTCAACAAAGTAAAGGATTCCTTCCTTTCTTTCCTACTTTTTTTTTGTGGAGTAACACTTTTGTAAAGAAAAAAAAAGAGAAAAAAATCCTTAGAATTCCAGCACCATATAGAATTTTAATTACATGTACAGCAATTTTAGTGTAGTGAAACAAACATCACACCTTATTGAGAGACTCTTATTAAAACAAAAAGGTTTCCTATGTTAGAAGTTAGATGACACTAGTTGTTTCCCCCCTTTTTACAGGTACTTGAAAAACAATATAAAAATATATGAGCCGCGTCATGACAAAACCAACATAGTCCGTTTGCGACCAGCATGGATCCAGACCAGCCTGCGCATTCGCGCAGTCTGATTAGGATCCATGCTGTTCGCGATCAGTTTCTCTACTTGTTATAGGGTTTGTAAGCGAACAGCATGGATCCTGATCAGACTGCACGGATGCGCAGGCTGGTCTGGATCCATGCTGGTCGCAAACCCATTATGTTGGTTTTGTCATGGCGCGGCTCATATAGTCTTTGTCAAACTTGCGTACTCAACAATACATAAAATTCCCTTTAGTAAACCATTCCCTACTATAATATTCTATTTTATTACTGTGAATCGCCATTAGGCTCAAATGACCTGCAGTTATATGTACATAGAAATACTGTTTCAAAAAGTTCAGAACAACACTCGTTTATATCCAAATATAAAATAAAGGGCATAGAACAGTCTTGCATCAACCTCTCAGTTTATGAAACATAACTATTTGGCACCCATCCTTTGCATCACCCAACCTTCCCCCCCCCCAATTTTTTTTTATTCATTCTTTGATTAACAAAATATATACCCATACATATATATTCATGTATTTATTTAGGATTAATATAATTTACTTCTTCTTATCACCAAACACAGACAATGACATTAAGATCACAAATTTGGGTGCCGATAAAATATCAAATTTCTTTATTAAAGGAACTCCACTGAGGTTTAAAACCATTTTAAATCATATAAAATTTGAATTTCTTACATAGACAAATGGGGACACTTAAAACCGAAAGATGTGCAAAGGATAAGTTTTATAAAAAATGTAATCAGAAAATATTGAAAAGCATATTTTTGGTCTGTCATTTTTCACATCTGGAAAAACGGAGTGAGCAAATGATCTAAAATTATGCGCATATGTTACTTATATAGACCTTTATCAAATGGAACATTAATCGCAAACAATTATTTCTAGTTCCGTCATGTCAAAAAACCCTTTAAATTGCTGGAGACAACAATGTTGTCTGTATAATTTTAGCTAGGCAAATCTGTACACCAATGCAATCTGAGCAAGACAGACTCTTTACGTTAATTTTTTTTAAAATTTTGAATGTTGATTAAAAGTGCCTGTCATAACCAATGGATAGTTCCGAGACTCGAATGCAGGCCATATCTACAAATTTTACACATTTTAACATTATAACCACAAACCGTAACCATGAACAAGCCCCTTTAAAGATCATTATTTCATAATCGTAACCATTGGCAACAGATTTGTAACATATTTTTGGTACATGTTGCTAGTCTATAAAATAAGCACCGATGTGAATATAATTTACTTATTTCTTATCTCAGGTAGTAAATACACACCCATTTACAAGATCAATACATGAGTAATAATGTGTTTACCTGGAGAAAATACTATACCAAACTAATAGGCCTGTTTGGCTTTATAACTACTTATCTTTTATAAATATATGTTTTACTACTTGTTCTTTTCAGCCAGACTTACCTCAAACAATAAACAAATGGATCTATTGTTAAACAATCTATGAAATGTTGTATTATATATATATACATATATATATACACTGTCTTAACCGGATGCCTAAGGTTTAAACAGTTATGTCGGTTTAGCATTAAGTCATTGCACAATTTGTGGCAGGAAGAAAAAGTAACATGTTATATTTCATTGTTATAAAATGAAATATTTTGATAATCATGTAACATAGATAGTAAGATAATTTAGTTGATGCATTTTACGAAATCCTCATTTTTTATTTTACCTATATTGGTTATTTTTAATGAAATATATTATAAGTTAACTGTACCCCACCCTTTCAAAATACCTAGTTTATGGATGTCTTTTATCTGTTAAACCCTTAAAGCAACATGCCTCCAGATTCATTCAGGAAAATTTTGAAATGTATTTGAAAATAAAACATTGCTAATATAATAAAGAATGTAATTTACAAATTGTATAATTATGACACTTAATTATGACCCATATAAATTACCAAAATATGTCAAAAATATGCAAAAACAGTAGAAATATGGTGATAAATTCGACAAAATCAGTCATTAATCGCACACAACATGTAAATTTTTACTGGAATCTTAAATCATTTTACTTTTCTTAAAATCTTAGTACATTTTTCTCATGCTTGATATTAAATTTTTTTATTGAAATATTTTGGTTCATCTGGAGGCATGCAGCTTTAAAAGCTAAAATACAATTTCAAACTATGCACACAATAAAATTTGTGTTTAACCACTGAAGACCACAAAAACTAAAGTGTGTATAAAACGCTTGTGTGTTATTTATATACATCTAATGATCTGACATCGCTCAAAGCTAATTTACTTAATTCAGATAAATTATCAACCATGATAAAGTACTTGATTTTCAATATCAAAATGCTGTAAAACAGGCAAGTATGAAAGTGAATTAAGTGTATCTCAAAGTATCTCAAGTGTATAACTTAACAAGCTAAACTTATTACGACAAGACATATCGATTTAAATACATCATTTTAGTGTTTACTACTTTCTTATATGAAGGTCAAGGTTACTCGATATATATCCTAGAGTAACCTGCACATCTCACTTCCTGTTAACAATATCTATCCAGTGATGTTTAACAGATAACATTTACACCTTTTCTCTAAACCACGTTTAACACAATTCACGTATATTTACGAAACATTAACACACTTTTTCCTTTTTCACATCCAAAACAAAATATCCTTCATATTTCTTTCAAATAAACAGCACACGAAAAAAACTATGTTACAACTCCCTTCACTGATAAGACTCATGTAGTATCCGAAAAATATTTTATCCCAGCTTGCGAATATAAAAATGTTGTTAATTCATCCCACACATGTGCACAATAGGTAGACGTACTGGCCTTATCAGCTTCTAGGCTGGGTATATATGGTTATAATCTATTAACCAGCAAGCGTTCATGCTTTACTTGCTAAAATTACATCTCCAACACCCATCTTTGATTAATGCGTATTTCATAACTGATATCGATGATGGAGAAATTATTATCTTAAAGGTAAAGAGATACCAGGTGAGTTTTTTTATTTTGTGCCTACTTTAAGCAGTCACTAATTAAAAACAAACACTGTTCCGTTAATTACAGTGTGTTCTAACTTTCTCCAGGTATGAATCTTATATCCATAGTTCTCATTTTTTTTATATAAATATGAAAAAAAGAAAAGCAATTCATAAATAGGAAATTATCATGTTTATTAACAAGTATTGATTTATATAAACAATGGTGTTGTTGTTTTTTTTTGTTGTTGACATTTATATCAATTGGCGGTTTTGACCTTTTAAATTATGTAAAAGTTACTTTAGCTTGAACTTAATTAAATTATGTAATGAAATCCTCAAAATCTTTTCTTTCGAATTCAGTATTCCTTTCATAAAGATAACTAAGCTTTCCATTCATAATGATAACTAAACGCTGCCTAAGAAATATATTTTTTTCAATCCTCTACACTACACAGGCCACTCTAATGGATACAGTGCTGTACTATCATAATCTACTATCAAATATACATGTATCTAAATCTGTTTACCCAAGGATGAAAAATAAGATAAGATTAACTGATAATTATTCGAGATTAGCCTTACCCTTCACATGCTTCAAGGCACAGTATGTCTAAGACAGAAATGTATGAAAAGTTCATTCTTTTAAGGCCCATTGGTTTAAACGTATTTATTTAAGCTTGATCACAAAACAAGTTCTTGCAACTTATATTAATCACTTTCCAACCCAAACTCCGTGGATGGAGAGGCAGACACCTTAACCACTAGGCCACAACTCCCCTTAAAGGCCCATTATGCAACAGAAACATATGAAAATTTAATTCTTTAACAGCACGGTTTGCCTCATTTATTAAAAGCATATTATGCCTCAGAAATGTATAAAAAATTTCATTCTTAAAGGCACATTATACCTCAAAAACAAATAAACATTTCATTCCTTAAAAGCCCATTATGCCTCAGAAACGTATAAAAATTTCATTCTTTAAAGACCCATTAGTCCTCAGAAACGTTTTAAAAAAACTCATTCTTTTTTTAAGGCCCATAATGACTCTAATAAAATATAAATTTCATTCTTAAAAGGCACATTATGACTCAAAAATAAATAAATTACATTCTTTAAAGGCCCATCATACCTCAGATATGTAAACATTTCATTTTTTAGAAAAGACAAACATGAGTTTTATAATGTTTGAATAATGTTAAATAGCATGTTAGATGTTTTCCACCAGGAGAAAGTAGTGCTGAATGTGAATTGTTTGTCATAAAAGTAGTAAAAATATAAACAAAGTAGTATTTTGACTTCCATACAAAATACTAAATCACTGTAAGTGGACCAATTGTCATATAGTAACAGAATCAAAGACTATTTAGGCAAAATGAGTTTTTTTGTTTTTTAAACTTTAACAGGACATTAAAAATCAAAAGCTTTTGGGAAATATAAAAATTAGCATTATTGAGGCTTTATGGGCCTTTAATGAATAAAATGAATTTCCCCAGCTTTGAATTTGGAACAGTCCATAAATACTTAATATGCACTATATTTAACAGATTTCAATAATTATCCAAAAACAAAAATTGAGCTACAGGGCCATCCTTAAAAAAATGTTTGTTTGCAGTAACCCGACCCAGAATTTTCAAGGTGGGTAGGTAGGTCGATTTTTTTTTTTTTAATTGAACTGTACTCCCAAATATACATGGAACTTCAAAATGCTGGACAATATATGCTTTGATAATCTGGTAACAATTAATAAATTGATAACTGAATTCTGATTTAATAAGACCTACATTTTATTTCTTCTATTAACCTTTAAAAGAACGAAAACAAAGCACAAGGCATAATTTTCTGATTAAAAAAAAATAATTTTTTTATCCAGACCATGAAAAATAATTTTGAGTAGGGGCAAATTTTGTGAGTCGGTCGCGTTACTGCAAACAAACATTTTTTTAAGGATGGCCCAAACATTAGAGCCTGGACAGCCAGCAAGGAAGTGCCGGTTGGCCTGGATACAGTTATACTGGTGGAAAAATTATCACTTTCAGCAGGAACAGGGCCAGCTGCCATATGATGCACTGAACAAATTAACTGCTTTTTTTTAAGTGTGTGTGTGGGGAAGGGGGGGGGGGTTGTTTACTATGCACTGGCACAGTATAGGTCATATGTGAACTTTCCTGCTTTACTGGCGTGGTGGACTGGTGGCAGAAGACCAATGATGTATACTGCATTATTTCAGGCACAAACAGGCACCTGAGTAGAACCACCTCATTCCGTAAGCTAGCTGGATAGCTGCCTTTTATGAAAGAATCTAAACTCTGTAGAGATTCGAACCCACAGTGGTAAGGGGCAAGTGGTTTTAAGTCAATCACCTTAAAAGACCTACATCAAATGGTACACAAATTGTACACAAAGAGGACTATTTTTTTTCATATGGTGACCTATATTTGATAATTTTCCTTGATTTTAATTTCTGTTTGCACTTTGTTCATTAGACAATATTTTACTCTTTTGATACATTTTAAAATTTCCATGAAAATTAGCATGAATCTAGAGGTATGCTGCTCTAAGTAAATTTTCTTACAGATATAGGTAAACTTGTTGCATACCAAGCTTATTTCAAGTTCTGCTGATCCAGAAAATTATATTTATATATATACAACTGTACAGGTAGCCATGTTCAGACAACTTAAAACACTGCCGAAATAACCCATCATAATAGAACGGTATGTTAACAGTCAAAATATATATATTTAAGCAGTAATTTGTTTGAAGTGGCTACAAGAAACTCTTCAAACAGCCGGAAAATTTGCCAAATTGTATAAGAAATCAAGCATTTGCAGCAGTACAGAATGATGTAACTTTTTCTTTCAATGCATTAGAATTTTGATAATTTGGCAATGAACACTACAAATGATAGCATACTTAACCCTTTACCACATATATACGCGAAACAACGCATTTTCGACCCCCCCCTTTTTTGGGCCTCAAATAGTAAAAAAATGTCCTATTTGGGCCCCAAACATAAGTTTTCGTTTGAGAAATGTTGCTAATAAATTGAGCACTTTTTCGGCGCCGCCCCCCATCCAAAAGATTCATCAGGGGGTTGTCAGAAGGGGGATGTGGCCCCTTCTGTTAGGGGGGGTTTGAAGGGGGCGGAGTCCCCCTCATCGCCAAGAAAATTTTGGACTTTTGAGAGGCTAAAAATAACCCCAGGTCGATCATAATGTAACGTGTAATCAACGCTGAAAAGCCTTTGACTCTATCTCAATCCCTTGAGAAGTTGCAGCACTTTGAAATAAATTTTGATGGAAAAAATCGCGGCAAAATAGTGATTTTTGCAATTTTGAGATTTTCCCTCGTTGCCATGGTAACAGGAAATTTAAGACTGAGCATGTCGTTACAAAGGCAATGGTCCAGTCAACATTTGTGCCAAGTTTGATTAGTATTGAAGCATTTTTCATAGTTTCATAGCAGTTTGAACTTGTAACAGGAGGCTTTTCAGTGAAAACGGCTATTTTTCACAATATGCTCATCGGGGAAAGGGTTAACTAAAAAAAATATAAATGTTACAAAACAACAATTTTTCACCAAAATTAGGTGAAAGACCACATGTTAACACGGAAAAACTAGTTTTTAGGTGATTCCAAAGTTTTTCATCATTTTTTGTTAACCCTTTACCACATATATATGCGAAACAACGCATTTTCGACCCCCCCCCCTTTTTTGGGCCTCAAATAGTAAAAAAAATGTCCTATTTGGGCCCCAAACATAAGTTTTCGTTTGAGAAATGTTGCTAAAAAAATTGAGCACTTTTTCGGCGCCGCCCCCCATCCAAAAGATACATCAGGGGGTTGCCAGAAGGGGGATGTGGCCCCTTCTGTTAGGGGGGTTTGAAGGGGGGCGGAGTCCCCCTCATCGCCAAGAAAATTTTGGACTTATGAGAGGCTAAAAATGACCCCAGGTCGATCATAATGTAACGTTTAACCAACGCTGAAAAGCCTTTGACTCTATCTCAATCCCTTGAGAAGTTGCAGCACTTTGAAATAAATTTTGATGGAAAAAATCGAGGCAAAATAGTGATTTTTGGCAATTTTGAGATGTCCCCTCGTTGCCATGGTAACAGGAAATTTAAGACTGAGCATGTCGTTACAAAGGCAATGGTCCAGTCAACATTTGTGCCAAGTTTGATTAGTATTGAAGCATTTTTCATAGTTTCATAGCAGTTTGAACTTGTAACAGGAGGCTTTTCAGTGAAAACGGCCATTTTTCACAATATGCTCATGGGGGAAAGGGTTAACTAAAAAAATTATAAATGTTACAAAACAACAATTTTTCACCAAAATTAGGTGAAAGACCACATGTTAACATGGAAAAACTAGTTTTTAGGTGATTCCAAAGTTTTTCATCATTTTTTGTTAACCCTTTACCACATATATACGCGAAACAACGCACTTTCGACCCCCCCCCTTTTTTGGGCCTCAAATAGGAAAAAAATGTCCTATTTGGGCCCCAAACATAAGTTTTCGTTTGAGAAATGTTGCTAAAAAAATTGAGCACTTTTTCGGCGCCGCCCCCCATCCAAAAGATACATCAGGGGGTTGTCAGAAGGGGGATGTGGCCCCTTCTGTTAGGGGGGTTTGAAGGGGGCGGAGTCCCCCTCATCGCCAAGAAAATTTTGGACTTTTGAGAGGCTAAAAATGACCCCAGGTCGATCATAATGTAACGTGTAACCAACGCTGAAAAGCCTTTGACTCTATCTCAATCCCTTGAGAAGTTGCAGCACTTTGAAATAAATTTTGATGGAAAAAATCGAGGCAAAATAGTGATTTTTGGCAATTTTGAGATGTCCCCTCGTTGCCATGGTAACAGGAAATTTAAGACTGAGCATGTCGTTACAAAGGCAATGGTCCAGTCAACATTTGTGCCAAGTTTGATTAGTATTGAAGCATTTTTCATAGTTTCATAGCAGTTTGAACTTGTAACAGGAGGCTTTTCAGTGAAAACGGCCATTTTTCACAATATGCTCATGGGGGAAAGGGTTAAGCAAAAAAAAATTTTTTTTAAACATGTACAAAATGTTTTTTTTAAAAAAATCAGTTATCGCTCTATCAACCCCCCATTTCCATGTAAGCTATCACTCCGCCCAACCCACAATGATTTTTCTCACTTAATTGAGAAGAGGCCTTAGCCTGCCCTCTTGATTCTGGGAAGTGAAAAAGCTGGTTTAAGTTTAAATTTTTGGCAAAACTGCATGATTTTAAAGAAAATTTCAATTGGAAAGAGGCCTTTTTTCGGAGTCTGTTATATAAGTAGGAAAATCACTGCCTAGAATTATATGGAAGACTTACAAAACAAGAAAGCAATTTTGCCTGAGAATATGCACCAGAGATCCAATGCTAACAAGATTGCATTTGAGAAAAATGCTATGCCACCGCATTAATACAACACTAAATAGTAGTGTAGGAACAGATTTTCTTTGTTTCTATACAATTTTGAAGATTGTCATAATGCATAGATCCCTGACCTATCTAATTCTTATTATCAGATTAGTGGTTAAATCTGTTGTTAACTCAATAAAAGATCTGAGTAGGAATATATCAATGCACTTGAGTCTAGTGAATTTGGTGGTGAAGGTCATATTTCACACAGCCTAAATTTCATGACTACATCAAAGGACAACATAGTAAGACACTTTGTCAAAATCTAGGTCAGCTGAAATCAAAGTTCACTTAACATCT